CTGGCGACCCCCAGGGGGAGGGCCTACTCTGTGGGTGCCCCCACCCTCTGGAATGAACTACCCCCCGAGATCCGGATGATTCCGGATCTCCTTACTTTCCGCCGCGCCCTCAAGACATGGCTTTTTCAGCAAGCGGGCCTGACCTAGGGAGGATTTTAGGCAGGGATAATTTTAAAAGTATTTAATTCGAAACACAGCTGGTAATATTTGGTTTTAATTCGGCTTTTATCGGGGTTTATTTTCTGTATTTTTGTATTTTGTAATTTTTTGTATTTTGTGTTTACTATTTGTTTTTAATATGCTGTGAACCGCCCTGAGTCCTATGGGAGAAGGGCGGTATACAAATTAAAATAATAATAATAATAATAATAATAATAAAATAAACACCCTTGTGCCCGAGCTAGATATCATATGAAACTAAAACCCAATACAGGTAATCCTTGACTTACAAATAGTTCATTTAGTAACTGTTTGAAGTTTGCAAAGCGTTACTAATACTTCATGTTATTTTGATTCTATGCCTCTGTTTATACAACCAAGGATTGTATTAGCTTTTTTGGCTGCTGCTGCGCATTGCTGGCTCACGTTTAAGCGATCGTCAACTAGGACTCCAAGGTCCTTCTCAGAGTTACTGCTTTTGAGCCAAGTTTCGCCTAATCTGTACTTGTATCTTTGTTTTTTCCAGATCCAAGTTGCTGCTGGAGAATCTGGAAGATGCCCAGGTCCTTCTAGGTCCCGATGACGCCTTAGTGGACAAGCACGGCTGTCCCGCTTACGTGGGTCCCGAAATCCTGAGCTTCAAGGGATCCTATTCTGGAAAGGCCGCGGATATCTGGAGCCTGGGGGTGGTCCTCTACACTCTGCTGGTGGGCTGCTACCCCTTCCAGGACACCAAGCCCATTTCATTGTTTGGCAAGATCTGCCGTGGACGCTTTAGAGTCCCCGGCGATCTCTCGCCTAAGGCTCAGTGCCTTATCCGGTGCCTCTTGCGAAGGGATCCGGCTGAAAGGCTGACCGCCAGCGGGATCCTGCTCCATCCTTGGCTGGCTTCGAACCCCGTCCCCAAGGCGTTGGGGGTCAGCCCCGCTGGAGGGCAGGGACCGGACCAAGTGGTTCCCGAAATGGGGAGGTGCAGAAAGGATTCGGATAAATTGCGAGAAGAGGGACAGATGAAGTGGCCTTGAGGGGAGGAAGGAAGAGGAGAAAAAGCGTACGACGTGGATGCCATATCTCAGCTGCCCTGGAAGTGCCTTTGGGGGGACGAAGCGCCTTTCCCCTTTGCCCCCCCATAGGGCAGGGGGTCACTTCGTCCCGAAACCTGGGGAGAGAAGGGCTTCGCCCTCTCTTCACCCCTTGCGTTCTCGCCCATGCCAAAGAAACCTTAAGAGAGTTTTGTTAAGCACCAGCAAGCTCTTAAAAGAAGGATGTTTTGCACTTTTAATTTGGGATGTGTGTTGATTTGGACAAGGACCCTGGAACCTGCTGGAATGGTTGATGGGAGAAAGAAATCTAGCATTGATGATGTTACCTAGTTTGGTAATGAGATGTCTGGAAGGAGACAGCTAAAGTCAGAGGGAACAAAGGACCCTGCAGTCATCGTTCTCCTCCTCCTCCTCCTCCTCCTCCTCCTCCTCCTCCTCCTCCTCCTCCTCCTCCTCCTCCTCTCCACTCTGCAATCTTCCCTCCTTTTAGCACTGATAATATTACCTNCCCACTCCCTTGTAGCACTGATGATGTTCCCTAGTTGGGTCATGAAATGTCTGTAAGAAAACAAAAAGACCAGAGAGCATCAAGGATCCCACAATTCTCCTCCTCCTCCTCCTCCTCATCATCATCATCTCCGCATCCCCACTCCTTTCTAGCACTGACGATGTTCCCTAGTTGGGTCATGAAATGCCTGCAAGAAAACAAACAAGCTCAGAGAGCACCAAGGACCCCACAGTCCTCCTCCTCCTCTCTGCAAACCCCAGTCCCTCCTGCACTGATGTTGTAACCTAGTTGGGTCATGAAACGTCTGCAAGAAAACAACCAAGTTCCAATTACAATCTAAGGACCAGACACAGAACTCGGAAAGGGAACTGGATCCTTGCCAGCCATGACTTTTCTGACTTAAAATGCCTTAACCCTTTCCTCTCCCTTGTGTTTTTTCCAGATGAGCCGGTGGATGCCAAAGCCTCGGGCAGAGGCCCACGTGCCTAAAAGGAAACTGTGCTGTGAGAAAGGGTCAAAAGAGGACAGCCCGGCGTCCAAGCACCCGCGTCTGGACAGGCTGCCAGGGCCATCACCCTGCCTCCAGCCCCTGCCTCAGTGCCCTCCTTCCGCAGGAAAGGATTTGACCATCACTCAGATTGGCCACTATATCCTTCTGGAGCCGACAGAAGGTGGACGCATCTACAGGGCTGTGGACAGACACACTGAGGCAGAGCTGACTTGCAAGGTACGAGATGATTGGCCTAGACCAGGGGTGGGGAACCTTGGCTCTTTTATGACTCGTGGACTTCAACTCCCAGAATTCCTGAGCCAGCATGGGGGAACTATGGCCCCCTCATGACTCGTGGACTTCAACTCCCAGAATTCCTGAGCCAGCATGGGGGAACTATGGCCCCCTTCATGACTCGTGGACTTCAACTCCCAGAATTCCTCAGCCAGCATGGGGGAACTATGGCCCCCTCATGACTCGTGGACGTCAACTCCCAGAATTCCTGAGCCAGCATGGGGGAACTATGGCCCCCTCATGACTCGCGGACGTCAACTCCCAGAATTCCTGAGCCAGCATGGGGGAACTATGGCCCCCTCATGACTCGTGGACTTCAACTCCCAGAATTCCTGAGCCGGCATGGCTCAGCTTGGAAACCTCTCCCTTTTCCCTCAGCGTGGCTGGCTTAGGAATTCTGGGAGATGAAGTCCACGAGTCATAAAAGAGCCAAGATTGCCTACCCCTGGCCTAGACCAAGGGTCTTCAAACGTGGCCCTTTTATGTTGTGGACTTCAACTCCCAGAATTCCTCAGCCAGGCTGGTCTAGACTCTCAAGCTTGGCCCTTTTAAGATGTGTGGACTTCAATTCCCAGAATCCCCCCAAGCAATCATAAACAGACCCAGGAAGAGAATGAATGTGTAAGGTTTAGTGACTTGCAGATTAAATAGCTTTTCTCAACCTCGGCCATGTTAAAATGGGTGGATTTCAACTCCCAGAATTCCCCAGCCAACAACCTTGGACCCATCATAAGTCGCTTTTTCCAGCGCTAGGGTAACTTCGAAAGGGTCACTAAATCCACGGTCATAAGTGTAAGGACTGGTCCTACATCACTTTTTTTTGGTGCTCTCATAACTTTGGCCGCTAAACCAACGGTTACAAGTGTGAGGAGGACCGATCCCAAGTCACTTTTTTTCAGCGCCGCCATGACTTTGAACGGTCGTTAAGCGAATAGTCATAAGCTGAGGAGTACAATAAGGAAAGGCGTAGCGCACAGGAGGCACTGTCAGAAACAATGACCTGCCGATAATTCACAAGGCAGCTGTCGAATGTGACAAATGGGGAACAACATCCTTGCATGGATGAGCCAATGGTCACATAGAAAAAACTAGGTCTGTCTGTCTGTCTGTCTATCTATCTATCTATCAATCATCTCTCTCTCTCTATGTACCCGTCTGTCTATCATCTATCATCTCTTATCTACTCCCTCTCTCTCTCTCTCTCTCTCTCTCTCTCTCTCTCTCTCTCTTTATCTATCTATCTATCTATCTATCTATCTATCATCTATCCCCCTCTATCATCTCTATGTACTCCATCTATCTATCTATCTAACACTGGAAGTTTTTAAGAAGAAACTGGACAGCCATTTGTCCAAAATGGTATAGGGTTTCCTGCCTGAGCAGGAGGTTGGACTAGATGACCTCCGAGGTCCCTTCCAACTTTATTATTATTATTATTGTTATATTATCTATCTATCTATCTATCTATCTATCTATCTATCTATCTATCTATCTATCTATCTATCTATCTATCTATCATCTCTCTCTCTATGTACCCGTCTGTCTATCATCTATCATCTCTTATCTACTCCCTCTCTCTCTCTCTCTCTCTCTCTTTCTCTATCTATCTATCTGTCTGTCTGTCTGTCTGTCTGTCTGTCTGTCTGTCTGTCTGTCTGTCTGTCTGTCTGTCTGTCTGTCTGTCTATCTATCTATCTATCTATCTATCATCTATCTATCATCTATCCCCCTCTATCATCTCTATGTACTCCATCTATCTATCTATCTATCTATCTAACACTGGAAGTTTTTAAGAAGAAACTGGACAGCCATTTGTCCAAAATGGTATAGGGTTTCCTGCCTGAGCAGGAGGTTGGACTAGATGACTCCGAGGTCCCTTCCAACTTTATTATTATTATTGTTATATTATCTATCTATCTATCTATCTATCTATCTATCGATCGATCGATCGTATCATCTCTCTCTCTCTATGTACCCGTCTGTCTATCATCTATCATCTCTTATCTACTCCCTCCCTCCCTCCCTCCCTCCCTATCTATCTATCTATCTATCTATCTATCTATCTATCTATCATCTATCTATCCCCCTCTATCATCTCTATGTACTCCATCTATCTATCTATCTAACACTGGAAGTTTTTAAGAAGAAACTGGACAGCCATTTGTCCAAAATGGTATAGGGTTTCCTGCCTGAGCAGGAGGTTGGACTAGATGACCTCCGAGGTCCCTTCCAACTTTATTATTATTATTATTATTATTATTATTATTATTATTATTATTATTATTATTATTATTATTATTATTATTATTATTATTATTATTATTATTATTTTATTATTATTATTTTATTATTATTATTATTATTATTATATTATCTATCTATCTATCCCTCATCTCTGTCTCTCATCTCTATTATCTGTCTGTCTGTCTGTCTGTCCCTCATCTCTATCTCTCATCTCTTATTATCTGTCTGTCTGTCTCTAATATCTGCCTGCCTGCCTCTCTCTCTCTCTCTCTGTCTATCTATCTATCTATCATCTATCTATCTACCTACCTATCTACCTACCTACCTACCCACCCACCTACCCCCTCTGTCTATCATCTCTCTCTCTCCGTACCCCCCTCTATCATCTATCATCTCTATATATCTCCCTCTATCATCTATCATTTATCTATCTGTCTGTCTATATCTACGTACCCCTGTTATCTCTCTCTCCCTCCCTCCCTCTCAAATGTATAGGCCGCCCATCTTACCTCAAGATAATTCTGCAGCTTGCTCTTTTTTCCCCCCTCACGTCGTCCTCTTTCCTTTCAGGTTTATCCGGCAAAGAGCTACCCGGAGGTGATGGCGCCATACGGTGCTCTCCCCTCGCACCCCAACATTGCCCGGGTGGCCGAGGTCATTGTGGGGGACCAGAACGTTTACGTCTTTTTTGAGCCCGGGAAGGACAACATGCACGACCTGGTGAGGCGGCGCAAGCGTGTGCCGGAATCGGAGGCCGTCGCCCTTTTCCGACAAATGGCCGAAGCCGTCGCCCACTGCCACCAGCACGGCATCGTCCTTCGGGACATCAAACTGAGGAAGTTTGTCTTCGCGGATCGGGAACGGTGAGAATGGAAAAGAGTGGCTGATTTTCCCAGAGCAAAACAAAAGAGTTGCGGCAGAAAAACCCTAAATTTCAGTTCATTTGCATTCAGATGTTATTAAAATTAAACGTAATCGCGGTGAGGTGTCCAATTATCACACCTCCCATTTAGCAGATTTCAGTCTAATGGTGAGGGAATTGCGCAGCCGGTGTCCAAATGAAGTCAGAGAAGCTGACGTGAACTTGTCATTTTATATAAATATATCTATTTTACATTTATATTTTCAGCAAACAAGAGAGTCAGGAACATCATGAGGTAAATCTAAACCGCATACAGAGCACACAGGAGAAAAAAGGCGGGAAAAAGGGAAACGCCCCCTTTACACCCAGTAACCAATCACAGTGCAGATTGCTTTATGCACGGCATTCTCCAACCAATTGACTACAGCTGTGTGTTCCGGCCCATTGTACACTTTACTGTTCCAGCTACTAAATTCAATATCCTCACACTAATATATCTTATTTTTTATTCCAGCATCTCCCTGGAAGGACTGGAATAAATTTTATAAATAAATAACAGGAATAAATTTTATAATAAATAAATAACAAAT